AGACGGATAGACGAATGGGTATCAAATTAGGAGAAAATGATACACCGTGTCAAATCTGAATTTTGCTTCTTAAACATTGTTTAACGCCACTTTCAGCAATATTCCAGCTCTATGACAGCGGTCTGATAATAATCGAGTCTCGACCAGTGACAATCCAGTGACTGACATTATGCACATTGAACCACGCAATTGGGATCGATGACGTGCATCAACCAAGTCAGCGAGCCTGACCATATGCATCCGATCCCGTTAGTCGCCTCTTACGACAAGCACAGTCGCATTTTAAGGCAAGCATGGGTTGCTGAAGACCCATCCAACAAGTAGAGTTTTCCGAGATCAGCGTTTGTTTTCACAGATACTTTATATCGCTTGATTTCATTTAGACCATTTGTTTGAGTGACAAAGGCAAATTGACATTTTATACTAAAATGAATGCGTAATTGAGGGAAATATGTGAAATATAAGCGATGCAATAACCTCTTCAATAACCTTCACACGCAAAGGTGATTTTTTAAGTTAACACTATAACGCTATCCAATATGACGGGAAGTTTCACATTTCGGCGTTTGTGTTTTTTTAAAACATGCTAAACGAGTCTAGTTACTGTCGACGTTTCAGAACTATCACTGATGATTTGATTAATCACATATATACCTGATCACTAATTGCTGTTTTGGTTACGGATTTCTCCAAGTAAATATTCGATTTCAATATAACACTGTGAAAGGTGATTTAGTAAAATGTTAAAAGTGGCAATGTTTAAGAAGAGGGACATATGTGTGATGACATCCAGGGGGTAAACTCACAAGACCACAAGGATGAAAACATCCAAACAACATAGCATATATTATATTGACATGGATGTATTTCATTAATTTTTTTTGTAATGCGCTCTATATGTTTTCTTACCATTCTCCTCCATAAAGTCCCGAAATTCATCTGTCTTTGCCTGACTCTCAAGGGTAATCAAATCGGCATTATCATGTCTACAGTGTTCTCGGGCGGAGCCTCTGTCCAATTTATCTGAGACAACTTTGATGCATCGCCTGCCCATAACACTGTATGCAACGGGGCAGACACCTGAAATTGTGCAATCGTGTGTATTTTCATGTAACATATTTGTGCACACATTGAGATACAGCGATTTTGATTATTGTACTTGAGATAGTCAATTATCTCAGTAAGAGTATTATGCTCTCTCTATAATGACCTATGTTATATCAGGATGAATTTCACTTTTCAAAAGGGCCGTAAAGCATCGAGGAAATTAGCGTAAACCCTCACTTCAGTTACCTCGTTGGATCACTTAAAATGAGTGGGTGCCTCCATGTGTTCGCGAAGAAGAATGCCAGCGTATTCCCACACTCTTGACGAAGCACGAACAGCAGTCCAATTGTGTAAAAGTCTGCATCCAGATCCGGATTTCAAAAAAGAAATGTACGTTTAGTGATTGGTGCAGTCTGAAAGGACGCACTGATAAAACTGAAGTAAGGTGGTGAAATTGGGTTTAACGTCGCGTCCAAGATTATTGCACTTATATAGCGACATGCATGCACGTGTATGTGTGGCTGCTTGTACTAGTCCGGACTGATGCCGATTTATAGTGCTAGCTCACTGAGATACCATGCCGCAGTTTAACATGAATACCCCACTCAGACACAGTATACTGACTCCGAGCCGACCAGTCCTTGTTTTAGCCCCTTAATGCCGAGCGCCAGACAGGGTAACAACAAGTACAATCTTTTAACGTCTTTTTGTATGACGCGGCCCGGGATCGAACCCTGGACCTTCCGCTCTCCGGGCGGACGCTCTACCACAAGACCACGGAGGCGGTCGATAAAACTGAAGTAAAGTAGAGATTAAATGTACCGGGACATCACAGGGCTGGAAATCATTGTAGAGATTGTAGGGTCATTTCAATATATTTCATCATAAAAATAAATGGTTTGATTTGGTCTATATTTTACAGTGGGCTGAAAACGTGTTAGCATCCATCTGGAGAATCTTGATAGTCATGGTCCTAATATTAAAACCGGAATCTTTTACTGGATGCACACAACAAAAGTTTGTTTACCTTGAAAAGAATTTGTGAAAACATTACACAAACATGATGTGAAACATATGTTTAACTTTCTCTGACTCAAGATTCAGAGATACGTGGCAGATGTGCAAATGAAATTTAATGCCGCAACGGAAGTAAACATAGATGTTTACCTTTGCATGTCCACCATTAACAATAGCAATGACACAAGGAGTCAAGAAATAAGTAACTTCCTTTTATGAATCATACCATACTTACTTGACATCATCAATTAGCTGATCCGTGTTTTTACTATAACCATAACTCGGTCACTTCCAAGCGAAAGTGTCAAATAATGCTTGCCGTAATTGCCGTATATATACGTATTGAAAATATAAGATATCATGTACACATGTGAAGGTAATATGTTAAATTCCAATAAACTGAGCTTCTAGACGTTTTGAATTTTTCAGATATATTGAACCAAAAATATCTCAGTACTTTTCAACGCATTGTCTTGAAATTTCACTCAGTATCTTGACATTTTAAGATAACATAGACAACAGGGAAAACATTCTGGGCGTCCATAATGTCCTGCGATCAATGTCCTATAGAATGTCCGCAAAGAATTTAAAAGCTCCCTGTTTTCATTTCCAATCATTTGTTGGTTGAATATGTCAAAACATTGCCTAAATAAGGCACGTGAATTACCCGATAATTAATAAGTTGAGCAACAGATTACATTACATTTTGTACTCCTTTCAATGAAAACAGTTATTCCCTTATGCTACGAGGGTCACAGGTGACTTAACACTCTTCGCTGTAGTCTATTAGTCATTCCAGAACTGGAGAACGTTGCTTCGAATCGAAGATCCGCTCTGATTATGATCCCACCAATATAGGCAGGAATCAATAAACTCTACGAATTTAAACCAACAATCGGTATAAAACAGAGTCGGTTTACCAACGAATATCTGGTTAAAACAGATGGGGACGAACATCCTAAGTGTATCCCTTTGGATGAAAGTGATGAAGGTGGTGACTTTGCAATTACAAGGGATTCACATTATCAAACAGTAAATCTCAAAGCTCTGTTTTCCTTTGTGAGCCGGCATCTCATTCTAAGCTACTTGAAAGAAAGTGGTCTGTGTCATAAATTTTAAATATGTTTGTGAATAACTAATTGGTGCTTTTAATTTTGGTGTGATGCTCTTATCAACAAAACTTATTGAATGCTCTGTCCGTAAAATGGTTCCCCCCTGTGTGACACATCTTTCCTGTCATATTCGATGTTACTATCATAAACCAGTGTTTAAGCCAACTTATTGCTGAACATTTGTTAATATTGGCTAACATTGTGTACAGCCACCGGTGGCTAAAATGATTAAGTAAATCCTCCAGGAGTATTTTGCAGGAAGCAGGGGCACAGGAACTTCCCATGATCCCCAGCGAGGTGGCCTAGATTTGGTTACTGGTGGCTTACATCACATGTTTTTTGTTTTTTTAAATTTGGCTCGAGACAATTGAGAATAGTACCTCTTTCAGGTTGTCGGTATGGTAGTTATGGTCGGTTATGTACTTACTCTAGGTTACCAAAACGCTTACCCAAACACTGACATACGCCATTGGCGCCATTCGGATGGCCTTTTTGTAATCCTATTTCTATGCCTAAAACTGCACTTATCGAAAGAAAAATGTTTCACGTTTGGTAACAATGTGAGACTGTGTGTATTGAATTCCATCACACTGCAATGGCGTGGATCGTTCGGCATGCTTTAGGCATGCCTGGGCCAGAAATTATTGCATCATTTTTAATTTGGGTTTGAGTTTGTTTTAACACCATGGAAATGGAAAAATTCCGAGGCTTGCCGAGGATTTTTGCCACTGTTATCAACGAGTGTTGATATATTTGATATCAAAAGACACGAGGGTGAGATTTTCTTTATCATCCAACATCATTCTTCCAACTTTTTCAATTTGTAGACAGTAATAAGCAGTGTCTTCAGTGTAAAGAGTACTGCTAACAGCTTCAGAGCCATTAGTGATGTCATTTGATTGTGACATCATGGTAACCAGTGACGTTACAACGGTCTGCAAAGCATTGTGATGTAATTTCGTTGCAGCGATATCTTCAGTGTAGATATCGCTTGATCTAATCCAAGCGATATCTCCTGTGGAAGCCAGTTTTGGATGATAAAAGATGATTTTACCTGATAAACTCAAAAGCTATATGTATATGTATAAATGAAGTTCATGTGGCGGATGTGAATATATCCAGGTCACCTTAGTTCAGTTGTACCGCGTCATCTGTTTTATATTTAGATCTATGCATTAAGATTCAGAGTGTCAAAACACACTCCACAAGACTTTATGATTGGAGGAATGACTTCAACGTTTCAATAGTCAACTTTCCCTTCATGTCGAACAATATTCCAGCAGCTCCAGTCTGTTACATTTCACATGTTTTTTAGATACAACCGAGCATGCTCTTTCTACCAAGATTTCAAAGAGTGTCTCTTATGACTCTTGCTCAGAAGTTGTCAAGGTTACAACATGCAAGTTTCAGTTGAACAATTGTCTTGCTTTTGCATATGATTAATTTGTTACGGGTGCAACCCTTGGGACAGGATACGCTCATCTTCTCGTGAAGACCTGGTATCATCACTATTTGATAGTGATTCATAAACACATGGTCATGATATATGGTCGACTCTGCTTTTGGCAGAGATTTCTATTGAATATGGAAAGGGTTTTGTCACTTTTTCTTTCGATGTTTACCCTTGTTGTGAAACATGGATATCAGTTATGTACTTAAACATCGTCATTTTGAAGATTAATTATTTAAAATACAAACCATTTCCTTTTAATAAAAGCAATCCACTTGGATGTTCAAATAATTATATCGTAGTATAATAAAGTAGTTATATGTTGGGTTTGAGGATACCTTTATTTCAGTTCAGGATCTTACGAAATTCTGCTTCATTAATTCTCCTTAATCCAGTACATTTGTTAATCCGGACTATTTCATGAGATTAACCAGATGTCAGCTTCAACAGATCAGGCGACATGCACTCTTCCTGACCAAATAAACTGAAAGATGTTCACTCACAGTAACTTAACTGACATATCTAGTTGGTAACCTGACAGTATGTATGACGAACATCAAGTTGTTCTCGACATAACATCTTCAAAGTCAAAACTGAAGTTCGCACACAAAGCTCATGGTTCTACTACAACTACGGTAGTCTAAGCAGGTGCTCGGTGGGTTGATGGTAGCACCACATCTTGTTCCGTTTCCCTCGTAGCGACACCAGGAGTTGGATGAGATCGGTACTCCATTGACCCACTGCCATCCGTCTGTGACTCGTGACGCTCCGCACCAGTAGTTGACACTGGCATGTCCTGGAATAATAACAATAGGTGAGAGTTATAGAACAAACCAAGCAGAAAGTAGTAAGGTTTACAGGACCATTAAAAGTCAATTTGTGTACGAAGGACTTGAAACAAGAGCATAGTGAGAAATGAAAATTTGATGACTAACCAGTCTGCTTCATGATTCATAAAAATGGAAGTAAACAACTCTTTACTCATTAGAAAAAGTAAGTTCTCATTCCAAAAAAGCAGATCAGACAGAGAAAAATGTTAAAATGGTTTAAATGTCAATACACAATGTAAGAATCTGTCAGATAGAATCTGTTCTTTCAAATGCAGATATATAGAGCCATAGAGTGGATCAAAAAATAATTTGGGACCCCAAAGTACATGCTTCTGATATTCTATTTGATTGTGATGTAATGGATGTGTGTTTCTAAAGTTGCAACCGTAAAATGAACATTGTTCTTGATCTAACATGAAGTTAACCAGTCGTGTTTGAATTGGCTTTGGTGTTGTAAGTTTATTAACATGCGAATTGTATCCACGATTGCTTTGCTTGGTCTGGGCTCGGTTATTGGCATGAATTATAAATTTGTCTTTTGTTAACAAATAGCAAATTTTGCCACTTTCAATTGGACGGCGATAAATGTACTGTGATATCGATTTTTGTTTTAATTTGACAGTTAAAGGAAAACTGTAATCAGACAAAATACTATCTAATATCCGAACAACATAATAGCCAAGTCAAAATAAGGTTTTACTTGGAACAAACTCCAACAGAATATATTTCACCCCAATTTCTACAAGGTCTCAAGAACAAAATACTTAAAGTCCCGAGCAATCCTAGTTTGGGAAATATATCTAATATGTCTAATTTGCGTAATGGCCACCAATTATCAATATGACCCGTGAAGATTCCGGGGTAGAATAAGTCTTCAGCAACCCATACTCGCCGTAAAAGGCGACTATGCTTGTCGTAAAAGGCGACTAACGGGATCGGGTGGTCTGGCTTGCTGACTTGGTTGATGCATGTCATCGTATCCCAATTGCATGTATGCCCATGATGTCAATCACTGGATTGTCTGGTTCAGACTCGATTATTTTACAGACAGCCGTCATATAGCTGGAATATTGCTGAGTGCGGCTTTAAACAACAAACCAACCAACCAACCAACCAATTATCAATATATCTTCCATATTTCAGATGAGGTGAAATCTTTTGATGAAAAAGGCATGTGGTCTATTGGAAAATAGCCATATTGTGTTTCTAAAAAGATATTCACAATTACTGAACGTTTTCGTCTATTAATAAAAAATCAAGATGGCCGCCAATTTCAAGATGATCGACAAATTTCCTTTATGTGAGTTTAGACTGGAATCTTTTAACTTTAACGGTGTGCTAGAACTTATATGAATAATTATTACTTGGCACACAAACTCACTGAAGAATAGTTAACACTTTTAGATAAGAAACTCCGCCACAGAGCCCCCTGGTGGCCAAAATTTCCAAGATGGCCGCCAAGAGATTGATTAGACATGGAAGATCAATACACTGTTGGTCTCTGATGACATGTTAGAGTGACTTGAATTTCTACATTGGGGTAAACAGCCCCAAGGATCCATATCGAATTCTCAACTATTCGCATAAATCCAATATAACCACCAAATATCAATATTTATCTCTTAAATGACATGATTTGGCGAGTTTAAATATCAATATTGATTGTTATTGTCTGTATCCACTTATTATAACAAGTTTTGTGTTCATTCATGTTGGAAAACAAGTATGACCACATGAGGTCCTCACAGAATTTACCGAAAACCATTTGTTTCACTAGTAGCTGGTGAGTCATCGTCACTGTAGTTTATTTGTGAAAGTCCAATATGACCACCAAATACCAATATTTGAAAATAAATCTGAAAACGTTTGATCCACCGCTTATTCAGTTACATGATTTTGTGATTTATGAACATATTTACGTGAAGAATTAGTGGCCAAATTTTCATGGTGACTGCTGTAGATGTACATGTTGCAGGGTCATTATAACTCGAAAGTCTCAACAGGTTTGTCATCATCAGCACAACACTGAAATGACACAATATTTCTGGCAAGTGCTTCTTCTTGTTTTACAGTCGCATTTGGTATTACAGCAGATGATGTCCAGGAGTGTTGAAGGTGCTGCAGGGTGATCTGTCTGTATTGGTTAGGAACATCCATCTATCATGTGCCATTCTCAATCCAATGGATTCATACTGAACCCTTTCCACTGAAGTATCTGGTAGTATACACGGGGTTGTGGTATCTTGTGGCTACAAAGGTTGGCAGAGTTTGTGGCTCTGCGTGTGGTAGATTCTTTGTCACCTTCTAACAAAATACAATATGGTACCTTAAGCTATCCAATCCTTCATCCTTACATCCGCCATACAAAGACACAAGTTAATGTTCGACTGTTTTGTATGTACAGAACTGCACCCAGGTCTATCCAGTTTGTCATGAAGCAATAAAGTGCTGCTTTTGCGCTTTTTGCGTTGTACAAAAATGCTTCCTTCTTCGATGAAATAACCATTTGCCCTGTAAAATAAACTGTCACACCAGTACAGTACAAGATCTATCTACTAGCACTTTTCAAGTATGAACTCTGTAGTCACCCACCAGCATTATTTGGATCACCCTCTTTGCTCTGCAGGACAGTAAGGCAACCCTTGCTGATGCTATCTGGAAAACCATCGAAGTAATACAACGAGAACCTGGAAATGTCCAGTACATTCTTGATAGTAGTGCATAACCAGCTACCCTGACCAAGAGGTTCTAGGTTATTTCACGTATTTGAACTTAATACCATCTATATGTTGTGCAGAAATATGCTGTTGCTGACATTGTCATTAAAGGCCACAATAATGATCCATCAACGAAAGATGCAACACAGGGGCCTTTTCTGGCGAGAAAGATTATTTCACTGGGAAACGGTCATTCAATCGGTGAAGGAAAAATACTTGAACAAAGCAAAACACAAACAGCACTTTATTGCCTGTCTGGGTGACGAACTGGAGAGAGCTGGGTGCAGCACAGTCCATCCAAAACAAGAAGTTCTCACACAGACTTGCTTATCCTCCTTCTTCACCATGTTACAATGGAAATGTTCCCGGCTCCGGAACCCAAGCCAGCTTCAAGGATTAACAGGATCCGGCAGGATGTGCTCTTCTTACATGCAATTGTTGGCTGTGACACCACTCCTTGTCTGTTTGGCTTGGAAAGTGTCTAGCGTTGAAGAATGATGCCTTGTTCTGTGATCAGGCTAACATTTTCAGAAGAAACTGGGTATGACTGGTCATCACTGAAGTAGGTTTACATGCGCTAGTGTCTTTATATTGAGAATGTTAGAAGGAGGGGCTGGATAGCTTACGATACAAACGGTTTTTTGGGAAGGTGACGAAGAATCTATCACTTGTAGAGCAACAAATTCTGCCACCATCCTCTGCAGCCGCAAGATACCACAAACCCCCATGTCTATTACCAGATAATGGAGTGGTAAGGGTTCAATATGAATCCATTTGAGTGCGGATGGCACATGATAGATTATATGGTGCTTAACAATACAAACATCCTGCAGCACCTTCATCACTCCCGGACATCATCTGCTGTAATTTCAAAAAAGACTGTAACATACGAAGGTGCACTTGACGGAAATATGGTCTCACTTGCACTTATGTGTGCGGGGAATGCAATGATGCAAGGTGTACCAATAAACAGTTTTTTTCAGATTTATATTCAAGTATTGGTGTTTGGTGGTTATATTTCAGCAGATAAACTACAAGGGAGATAACTCATTGACTTCTTGTGAAACAACTGGTTAGGGTTAATTCTGAGAGGACCTCATGTAGCCATACTTTTTTCTAACTAGTATTTACACGAATAAAAACAAAACTTGTATTAGTGTTTATTGCCATGGTAATAAATGAATTGAGATTTAACATTGAGATTTAAAAGTCGCCAAAACGTCATTTAAGAGATAAATATTGATATTTGGTGGTTATATTGGATTTATGCAAATGATTGAGTATTCTACATGCCTCTTTGGTTCTGTTCACCCCAATGTAGAAATTCAAATCACTGAAACATGTCATCAGAGAACAACAGTGTATTGATATTCCATGTCTAATCAATCTCTTGGCGGCCACCTTGGAATCGTTGGCCACCAGGAGGTTCTGTTGGTGGAGTTTCTTATCTAAGTGTGTTAACTATAATTCCGTGAGGTTGTGTGCCAAGTAATAATTATTCATATAAGTCCTAGCACACCTTTTAGATTTAAAAGATTAAACAATCTTAACACACATTTGTTGGCCAACCTGAAATTGGCCACCATCTTGATTTTTTTGTAGATTTATCAATAGTTGACAACGTTCAATAATTGTGAATATTAATATAGAAACACAGTATGGCTATTTCACAATAAAACATACTTTTTTCATCAAAAGATTTCACCTCATCTCAAATATGGAAGATGTATTGATAATTGTTGGTCATTTTGGATTATGCAAATTCGACATATTTCCCAAACTAGGAATGCTTAGGACTTTTAGTATTTTGTTGTTGGGATCTTGTAGAAATGGTGGTTAAATAAATTATGTTGCAACTTGTTCCAAGTTGAGTGAAAAGATGACCTAGATTACCTGGACAATAACGATAGACCAAACGTATGTGGAAGCCCTTGCATAATGCTAAACATTCGATACATAAAATAACTTCACGGAAATCGGGTTTTCACTGAGACATCTAATGACGATAGGGAGGCGTATACACGTACAAAGAAAAAGGGGGATGACTCCACCATGCTAGAAACTATGCAATTGTAACTCGAACTTGCTATGGATCATGACAATATCATTTTGTATTGTTTTGATCACGAGTAAGTATTCCAGCACAAGCATCAATACAGAAACGGTACAGTTTTCGTTTCATGACAAATCATAGGAAATTGTGAAATCATGCAACTTACGAAATATAGGTACAGAGAAATAGACGGACCTATCTGAGGCTTTAATTAGTCCTCAGATCCAGCTTTCACCAGATTGCGTAAGTGTTATTTGTATTATGCTGCCCATATATGAAAGGAGAACTACATGTAGTCTTCTCATCAAATGTAATTATTTAATTGATCACTGGTGATTTAATAAATCACATATATCCGTGATCACTATAATGTTGTTTTGGGTATGGAATTCTTCCTGTAAATATCTGATATTTAGATTTCAAAACATGTATAAAATAAAATAATGAATGGCGATTTAGTAAAATGTCCAAAGAAGCAATGTTTATGAAGAGGGACATATGCGTGATGGCATCCAGGGGGTAAAATGAGAGCGCATGAAATCACAGAACAGAACAGAACAGAAGAGAATTGAAGGATTAAAACATCAAAACAACATACCATCAATTTTGTCGACATGTATGTTTTTAGTTAATTTGTTTTAATGTTTTCTTACCATTCTCCTCCATAAAGTCCCGAAATTCATCAGTCTTTGCCTGACTCTCAAGGGTAATCAAATCTGTATTATCATGTCTACAGTGTTCTCGGGCGGAGCCTCTGTCCAATTTATCTGAGACAACTTTGATGCATCGCCTGCCCATAACACTGAATCCAACGGGGCAGACACCTGGAATTGTGCAAGCATGTGTATTTTCATGTAACCTATTTGTGCACACATTGAGATACAGCGATTTTGATTATTGTACTTGAGATGGTCAATTATCTCAGTAAGAGTATTATGCTCTCTCTATAATGACCTATGTTATATCTGGATGAATTTCACTTTTCAAAAGGGCCGTAAAGCATCGAGGACATTAGCGTAAACCCTCACTTCAGTTACTTCGTTGCTTCCGAGACTAGTTTGTCACTGGCGTCGACGTCATATATTTTCATTAATGATCATGTTCGATTCCTGGTAAAAAACATGTGTGCCCGATCTCAGAGAGCACATCTTTGCTTTCCATGGTCAATGGTATGTCGAAACGGCAAGCTTAATAGACATCATATGATTTGAAAAAAACACGAGGCCAAATTGGGATTTGAGTCATGTTAATCGAACTTGCTGACCCCGCAATCTGAGCCATGTCTTACTTTGGTAATTGAAGTTAGACATAGTCATATCTGACGTCAACGCCATCGTATAACCAGTATCGATTATCCACAGATTCCATTGGGCGTAAAAGGCAAGACAGATGTGAAAATTATATGAATGGATCACTTAAAAAAGAGTGGGTGCGACCAGGTGTTCGCGGAAAAGGTAAACGCACGTACCAAACACAGTTGCAGACACAAAGTTGGTAAAGGCATCCGTGGTTGAAAGTATCCTCTGGTACATGACACACTCTCCTGACATCGGCTTAAAGGCTACAGACATGCAGTCGCTATCTGCAGAGCAAATGCCAGCGCATTCCCACACCCTAGACGAAGCACGAACAGCAGTCCAATTGTGTACAAGTCTGCCATCGAGATCCGGATTTCGAAAAAGAAATGTACGTTTAGTGATTGGTGCAGTCTGGAAGGACGCACTGATAAAACTGAAGTAAAGAAGAGTGTAAATGTACCGGGACATCACAGAGCTGGAAATCATTGCAGAGCTAATATAAAAGGAACCGCTTATGACAGTCTATCAGTGGTTTGAGACATGTCGACGACGTCAGTCTCCCTAGTCAAACATTGTAGGGCCATGTAAAAATATTTTTGTTTTTCATCATAAAAATGAATGGTTTGATTTGGTCTTTATTTATGAAAACGTGTTAGCATCCATCTGGATAATCTTGATATTCATGGTCCTAATATTAAAACCGGAATTTGTTACTGGGTGCACACAACAAAAGTTTGTTTACCTTGAAAAGAATTTGTGAAAACATTACACAAACATGATGTGAAACATATGTTTAACTTTTTCTGACTCTACGTAGTAGATGTGCAAAAGAAATTCAATGCCACAACGGAAGTTAAACACAGATGTTTATCTTTGCATGTCCACCATTCACAATAGCAATGACACAAGGAGTCAAGAAATAAGTAACTTCCTTTTATCGATCATACCATACTTACTTGACATCATCAATTAACTGATCCTTGTTTTATTATAACCATAACTCGGTCACTTCCAAGCCAAAGTGAATGTAAATATGTCCAATAATGTTTGCCGTAATTGCCGTATATATACGTATTAAAAAATTAAGATATCATGTACACATGTGAAGGTAATATGTTAAATTCCAATAAACTGAGCTTCAAGAAGTTTTGAATTTTTCAGATATGTTGAACGAAAATCCTCTCGGTACTTTTCAACGCATTGTCTTGAGATGTCACTCAATATCTTTTTAAGATAACATAGACAACAGGAAAAACATGCTGGGCGTCCATAATGTCCTGTGATCAATGTCCTCTAAAATGTCCACAAAGGAATTTAAAAGCTCCCTGTTTTCTTTTCCAATCGTTTGTTGATCGTTTGTCATTGCACTTCCTGGGGAGTACCTTGGTTGAATATGTCAAAACATTGCATGAATAAAGCGACTGAATAACCCGATAATTAATAAGTTGAGCAACAGAGTACAAACAGTTATTCCATTATGTTACGAGGGTTACATGTGACTTAATACTCTTCGCTGTAGTCTATTAGTCATTCCAGAACTGAAGAACGTTGGTTCGAATCGAAGCTCCGCTCTGATTATGACCTTACCACGATAGCCATGATTGCGGGTTCAGGCACCTTGTTCATAATACCAATGAATTGTCTGGTTTACATTGAAATATTTACAGACCGCTGTTATACAGAGGGAGTATTGAGCCAAGGATGGAGTGCAGCGTCATACAAGGAATGGATATGTTTATATCTACCACAATGTTAATTGGGGAATATTTCTTGTTTGTCATCTCCAGGATGGTGCCGATCCTGTCGGGGACCGTGCAGGTAGCAGAGGTACCGTGAGGAGTCAGGGTGCCCAGTATCACGGCCTAAGTTTGGCTGCTAGCTGTGTGATACAACCTGGTTTATTATTTCTTTTTGTCCTTAAATAGAAATCTTGTTACTTTGCTGTCAGTTTGGTGCACAACTCACCCCGAAAAGACTGAAAGACTATAAAGCGATACGTAAAATCTCACTCACTCAATCTCTTGCCTAAAGTATCTTAAATAGTCCTTATTAACACAAAGAACAAACATTCATCAAACATGTTTACCTAGTCCAATTATAAATAAATTTGTATCTGATTTGAAAGCAAAACATATAAACGATTATATATCGTTCATGTTGTGGTGGCCTCAGTTCGTCCTCCTCTGAAGTGTTTACATCGTACTGAACAAAAATTGGCGGTTTTTATATTTAGACACTGCTGTCATCGTGTTTTGTTTGGAAGTGGCCACGTGTTTAGAAATATCAGGAATATCGCCTTTTTAAGTATGGGGAATGTTTGTAAATACACTTTGCTAAAGTCAAATGTTAACTTAAAAATCAAATACTAGTAGTCATTCATGAACGGGGCCTTGAACTAATACGGTGTATACGATCAATGTCACTGTGACGGGCTATCCAAGGTTAGACGACCCGTGATGATCCGGGGTAGAATAGGTCTTCAGCAACCCATGCTTGCTGTAAAAGACGACTATGCTTGTCGAGTGGTCAGGCTCGCTGACTTGGTTGATGCATGTAATCGGTCCCAATTGCGTGGATCGTAGCTCATGATGTCAATCACTGGATTGTCTGGTCCAGTCTCGATTATTTACAGACCGCCGTCACATAGCTGGAATATTGCTGAGAGCGGCGTTAAACAACAAATAAATAAACAAACAAACAAACAAGTCTGCACAGCGAATCGCGGCGCCTTAGACGACTGGACCACCCGTGCCTGTGTGTCATGTTTGTTTTTTCCCGACGGCATTCTCTGTACTCATTTTACCAACCATTCCTTTGGTTGGTCCAGTTATTTTATTTGTAGGCCAGCTTATTTTACAGTGAAACCTTTTGTAATCCGAAATGGACTGTTTCAAGGGGAGTTGTATGGTTTAACAAATTTCCAGATTCTTTGAGCATGCAGTAACATCCATTCATATTAAATATTCAAATTAACATCCGGAAAACAATGTTTTAGAAATACATTGTACCGAGATCAAGGCTGTCGCTGTATTATTTCTTACTGGACCGCCTCCGTGGTCTAGTGGTAGAGCGTCCGCCCGGAGAGCGGAAGGTCCGAGGTTCCCCGGCCGCGTCATACCAAAAGACGTTTAAAGATGGTACTTCTTGTTACCCTTTCTGGCGCTCGTCATTAAAGGGCTAAAACAAGGACTGGTAGGCTCGGAGGCAGTATACTGTGTCTGAGTGGTGTATTCATGTTAAACTGCGGCATGGTATCTCGGTGAGCTAGCACTATTAATCGGCATCAGTCCGGACTAGAACAAGCAGCCACACACACGTGCATGCACGTCGCTAATTAAGTGCAATAATCTTGGACGCGACGTTAAACCCAATTTCACCTATTTCTTACTGTTGCATAAAACAACATTCACTAACTCTATTATCTACTAAGAAGTTTATTCAAAAGAATGTACTTAAATACATTTCTTTCGAATGTGCACTTAATTTGCAACCATGAAGTACCGAAATTAACCAATGTTTTTCCCACCCTCAAGGGTAATCAAACCTGCATTGTCATCTCTACAGTGTGCTCTGGCTGAGTCCCTGTCCATCTTCTCAGTGACATCAGACATCGGTTTAAAGAATACAGACACACAGTCGCTATCTCGCAGAGCAAATGCCAGAGCATTCCCACACACATGACGAAGCACGGACAACAGTCAATTGTGTACAAGTCTGCCATCGAGATCCGGACGCCGGGGAAAATATGTACGTTTAATAATTGTTGCAATCTGAAAAGACCTACTTACAAAAAAGAAAAGAAACGTTGAGTGTATATATAGCAAAAAATCACAGAGTTGGGCATCTTTTTCGGACTAAAGGAAACGCACACAACAGTCTGTATGTGATTAATGACATGTCTTCACTGTCAGTCTCTTTCGCACAACATTGTTAGGCAATGAACAGATGTTTTTCAAGACTGAACAGAATTCGTCATGAGGCATTTATAAAAATATATTCTACCCAAGGCAGAACACTCGTTTGGCTGAGGCGCGCTTAGACAAAGTACAGCAACAATTGATTTGTTTTGTATTACACTTTCAGATCGACCCAACCATATTATAATTCTGGCCAGAGGTATTTTCAGAGAAAGTGTATGTGAACATACTCACTAATACAAAGGATCCTTGAAGATCCGGGGTAGAATAGGTCTACAGCAACACATGCTTGCCGTTAATGGCGACTAACGGGATCGGGTGATCAGGCTCGCTGACTTGGTTGAACCATGTCATCAATCCCCGATGCTCATCATATTAATCACTGGATTGTCTGGTCCAGACACGATATTTCACAGAGCGCCGTCATATAGCTACAATATTGCTTAGTGCGGCGTAAAACAACAAACCAACCAACCAACTCTGGTTGATGACACACTCTTCAGACGTCGGTTTCAAGGATACAGACATGCAGTCGCTTTTTGCAGAGCAAATAACAGCGCATTCCCAGAGTCTGGACAAGTACGAACATCAGTCCAATTCTGTACAAGTCTGTCCTCGAGATCCGGACGTCGAAAAGGAAACGTACGTTTTGTGATTGGTGCCGTCTGAAAAGGCCTACTGATAAAAGTGAAGGAAAGAAGGGTGTATATATACCTGGCATAGGCGGATACAGAGGGGTGGGGGGTTGGGGGGGTGTATCCCTTTTAATTTCGAAAAAAATCTTTATTTCTGTATAAATTACCACCAAAGACAATAAGTTGATCTTAATTGTGCACCCCCCGACCCCCCCCCCCCCCCCCCCCCCCCCCCCCGGGACATCACAGTGCTGGTCATCTTTGTAGCGCTTTTGGAAACGCCCCTGACGGTCCGCCAATGATTGATATATGTCTACGACGTTATTCCAACAGTGTAAGGCCACGTCAATATATTTTGTTTTTAATCATTGCACAGTGATGTGAAACAAATGTTTAACTTTCTCCATCCAAATTTCAGAGGGACATTGTCGATATGCAAATGAAACCCAAGGCAGCAATGGAAAGTAAACAAGTATGTTTATCTTGGCATGCCCATCGTTTACCTATAGCAATGGCCCGATTTAAAGTTTGTCATTTCCACGCTACATTATCGACCAGACCGGACTTCTTTGGCATCAGCAGATAGTGAACAGTTTGCTTTGTCATAACCATCACTCAGTCACTTCCATGTTAACGTGAATGTAAATATTTCGAGATCATGCATGAAGATATCAAGTATATTAATAAAGGTTATATGTTCAATGTTCAATAGGATAAGTTTCAAGATATTTTGATTGTTCAAGATAAAGGTGAGCATCAATCATCTTTGTGTGTTAAACGTTCAGCTTATTATCTTCAAAATGTCACTCAATACCTTGACATTGATAACATACTGAACCGAAAAAGAAACGTCACTTCATAAAAATACGTCATGAAAGTTTCCCATTGAAATACGCAATGCATTTATGAAGGTATCTCGTTTTTGATATAGTCCAAGTTTCATGTTAACGGTCACTAAATGCCACAATTATGGAAAAATGGATCGCTAAAAGTCCCAACCGGACTACAAATAGCGCGGTATTTTGAGAGATCTTACTGTTTGACAGACGTTGCTACGGTTATCGGTGACCGAAAATCTTGATTAACTATAGAAAGAGACAACATTCACATCCAAATCTTGGCAGATAGATTTGCCCTTCACCAGTCAATGTAACAAAAGTCACACGATATAAAAAAATTATTACATACGATCTGATATCACTTGCAATGAAATTGCCAAAATACCACAATTAACACATACCCATATACAGTTTACGATTGTTTTATGCAGGGATGTTGTGAAGAATGTTTCGTTGAAAATGTCAAAATGGAAACTTTTTTTATTTACATTGACACATTGCCATATCCGCATGAAACACCTGTGAGCCAGACCCAACAACAATTGACAAATAAAATATATCTAAATCTAGCTACTGAAACCTCATTACAGTTTGCTTGATATATATGTTTAACATTTATACGCCAAAGTACAAACAAGATAGGTCTAGTCATTGTAAAAGCGACTATAAATTAACTTATATAAAACAAATAAAAGTCATAATGTCGATAATATGTAGTATATTTATACATAGATATATCATCTTTGGACATGCCAAAAACAGTTTACACAGATACAAAATATAAAGTAATTCTATTTCTACAAATAAAATGATGAACTTTAAATATGTAGACAGTGCTTGTTAAAAGAAATATGCATGTTATGAATAGTCGATGTTTACTTCAGGAGACGTCTTACCTTGCAACTTATTTAGCATATTAAATTATTTATCACCACGTATGTTCCATATAATCCATATTCGGAATACAATGTATTTGAATCCACGAGCACATGCACAGTTCAAAACACAATCGAGCATAATTTCACGGCGCACACTAGGCCGAATTATCATCAACAGTTTCGTCCAAACGAATACAGCAGTCTTAAAAAAGGTACCTCGAGGATTCCTCAGAGCATTCCTTCTGTTCAACATCGTCCAATAGTTCTTGGATATAGGTTTGAGGACAACCACCACCTATGTCCTATATAATCCCGATTAGGAATGTTTGGATATAATCCACGAACATGATTCAAAACACAATCGGGCATAATTTCCCGGCGCACACTAAGGCGGGATGCACACTACGTCCGAATTTCAATGCGTTGCGTCGTGCGATGCGATCGAAAAAACGCAAGCAGTGGTTTTGTCATTAAGGTCAAACACCACGTGCTAAAATTGATTGCGATGCGATGCGATTTTGATAAGAGGTGCTCCTATTTTTAACGCAACGCATTCCAAATCGCAAGGGAAATCCATGGATGACGTCATAAATTGGCACTTAAGGAAGGGGTTTTCCAACCACATGGCTGCTCGTGTTGTATGAAACAGGTGATTTGCTCCGTTATTTTTATACTTTTCTCAATGAAAAAACAACACGTTTTTCTTATGATGTAATGTAAACTACCAAATCACACGCTTGTGCATGTTTATCTTAAACATTTAATGGATTTTACTGTATTTTATTGTGTTTTTGTGCATCAACACACAGGGTGGCAGGCAAAAAGGAAGCTAAACGTTCCGGCATCAACAATGACGAGTTGATTAGTCTCGTCGAAAGAAACCCAACTCTGTATGACAAGAGGTCGAAAGATTAAAGAGACATTGATGTCATCAATAATATTTGGACGTAAATGGCAAATTCTCTGAATGTCAGCACTTCTAAAGGTAAGTAAGAAAGAAATACAGCATAATAAACTTCAAATGCAATATTTTATCTAAAAATTACAAATGTTTTCTTCTTTGTTTCAGCTCAAACTCGTTGGAGAAGTTTAAAGGACACGTACAAGCGCAAAAAAAAGAATTAAAAGAAAGCAGAAAAAGTGGTGCTGGCACTGCAGACTTAAAAGAAAGCAGAAAAAGTGGTGCTGGCACTGCAGACATAAAGGAACCAACATGGTCCTGGTTTAAGTCCCTTGTGTTCTTGGGTGATTATATGGAGGATGATTGGTAAGCTATTTACTATTTTACTAGTAATAAAATCATGTCAAACAAAGCTATCACTGTTTCAAATTAGATAAGCAAATTAGATAAGCATAGTCAACAATCCCCTCCTTTTGCAGCACTGACAGCAACATGCCAAGCGACAAAGAAGACGCTGACGTCCAGGAACAAGATGATCTCCATAGTGACGACGAACAAACATCCCCACTGCAAGAACAAGTCAAACTTATGTAAGTTCATTAATCTTTCGTGGGAAACAAGCCTTTCCTTACAAGTTCGGTCTGCCAGGATAGTTGTCCTTGATTGTTAAAGTAATGCTTGTAGGTGTCTCTGATTTGTTCAGCAACATTACTGTTTCGTCTGGTGTAATTGGGCATCCCTGCTAGCGTTGAACACCCATCTCGTGCATGGTCTGGCGTGAGTGTTTCGTTGGTTGTTCCATAAGCACTTTGAAGGAAATTGTGAAGAGCACACGTTGCCTTTACAATTTTCTTTGCTGTGCTCGGTTCCGTCATTATTTGGGTGTGAAACACTCTCCATCTTGTAGCCAGAATCCCAAAAGCGCTCTCGACTATCCTCCTGGCACGGCTGAGGCGATAGTTAGAAATACGCTCCTCTTCTGTTCTTCCTCGACCTCCATATGGTCTCATGAGATTCTTCAGCAAGGGCAAACCTTCATCAGCAATAAATACGTAGGGGAGTTCTCCTAGTTCCTCAGCTCCTGGGAGTGCTCTGTCTTGTGTTTGTTTGTTTGTTCGTTTGTTTGTTGTTTAACGCCGCACCCAGCAATATATTCCAGCTATATGACGGCGGTCTTCAAATAATCGAGTCTGGACCAGACAATCCAGTGATTAACATCATGAACATCGATCCACGCATCTCGGCAACGAGAGAGATTCACTTATGAGTGCCTGTCCAAATTTTGATGAGCGAAATACACCAGAATCATTGTTCATACCATATGATCCTACATCAATTGTGATGAACCTGTACTTGGCATCAACTGCAGCCAGGATGATGATGGAGAATGTGCCTTTGTAATTGTAAAACACTGATCACGAGTTGGCTGGGGCTTTCATCACTACATGTTTCCCATCGACAGCTCCACAGAAATTTGGGAACTGCCAAGATTCCTTAAACCCATTGGCTACTTCTCTCCAATCATCAGATGTTGATGGCACCTTCATAAACTCTGGCTGCATTGTCTGCCTGATAGCAGCACAGACGTCCTTCACGATGAGACCAATAGTTGTTGCTCCGATTCTATAGTTGTAGGAAAGAGACGTGAAAGATTCCCCTGTGGCCAGATATCTGAAAATGAAAAGCACATATTTCATTTGATATGTAAAAGCATTAGCTATCATTTCTATCTATTTCAGGCGGAGGAAACGTAGCATGTCTGTGTCTGCCTCCCCAAGCTGCTCATCAAGGTCTGTTTCTCCTTCACCCGCACCACCCAAAAAGAAACAAGTGAAACAAAAATCCAACAATGAAGAGTCATCTGAAATAGTGTCGATGTTAAAGGAGAGCCGTGAGAGAAACCAGGAGAGGCAAGAACAACGGGATAAAATATTTACCAGTGTCCTTAACAAAGGTCACGACAGTGACGAGCTATTTATGATGTCATATGCTGCTCAACTGAGTCAACTTTCAGAATCCAGCAAGAGCATGGTCTAAATCAAAATTGCTCAGGTGTTCCACGAAGCTACTTTTGGTTCATATGTCCACAATCAAAGATACTACCCACAGCAAGAGGGTACTTTTGAATACCAACCACAAATGTGGAATATGTAACAATATTTCACAAGCAGAATGGCTCACAATAATTGACAAAGTGTATAGCTCACATTATTTGACAAATAGTATTTTATTTAGATATTTTAAATCCACAAATATGGAATATGTAACAATATTTCACAATCAGAATGGCTCACAATAATTGACAAAGAGTATAGCTCACAATATTTGACAAAGAGTATAGCTCACAATATTTGACAAATAGTATTTTATTTAGATTTTTAAAATCTTATTTTGTACCATACACCGAAGAGTGGGTGATATTAAGAATTAAAGTTTATATTCAATTATTTTGAATTTTGTTCTTTTTTAAACCAACGCTAAATGAACGTTACTGACCTTAATGTAACTGCCAATCTCTCCCTAGGTGAAATGGACTTGCGGAGTCGTGTGTCTTGTCTTTTGATGACATCTTCATTTTTCTCAAAAACGTAATCGAACATATCTTTCGCCATTCTGAAATATCCATGGAATTTATCACAATCCCCTTCTAGTTCCTTCAGCAAACGAGACCCGTGAAGATTCCGGGGTAGAATAGGTCTACAGCAACCCATGCTTGCCGTAAAAGGTGACTAACGGGATCGGGTGGTCAGGCTCGCTGACTTGGTTGATGCATGTCATCGATCCCAATTGCGTGGATCGATGCTCATGATATTGATCACCTGATTGTCTGGTCCAGACTCGATTATTTACAGACCGCCGTCATATAGCTGGAATATTGCTGCGGCGTTAAACAACAACCCAACCAACAACCAACCACACAGTGATTATAAACCTGTGATCAGATGTTACTTCAGAGATATTATGCGAAAGAAGTGGGACACCCAAGTAGGTATCAATAAATTACATCAAATTAAGCCAACTATCGGTTACACCTACTTGAGTTGTCAGTCCAGATTTGAAGAGGTCATTTGACGACAATGTCGAATTGGCCATTCAAGATATACAAATGAATATTTGTTAAAAGGTGAGGATCCTCCATTTTGTATCCCTTGTAATGAGAGAATCACAGTCAAGCACATACTGCTTGACTGTATTGATTTGGCAATTACAAGGGATCAATATTTCAAAGTTTCATCCATAATGGGTCTTTTTAATCTAAGTTCTCATTTAATAATAATTTTTTTAAGAGAAGTAGAATTAATTGATAAATTTTGATGTTCACAGTTACTGTTTTACGAAATTGTTTTAGTGTATTATTATTAGCCTAGATTGTTTGTGGCTGTGCCCTCGAAGGGGGTTGAAGTAGCGTAAAATTATTGTCCTCCTGAGAGGGAATCTAAAGACCCAATCATTCAGTTTGTTATACCTACAGTCATTTTTATCGCAGAATATTTGTTGATATTTAATGGTGGCTAAAATTGACTACAATCACCAGCAGCTGAAGCGATGGTGTAAATGTTGCTGGGGAACCGTGTAGGTAGCAGAAGTATCGTAAGTCCCCACGGTATGGTGGCCTAACTTTGGTTGCTGACGATCTATAGCCCGTTTTTATAATGTATTGTCGAATCATAGGTTATTCTTTTAATTGTTCGCAACTAGTTTTTCTTCTAAACTGTGATAGTCTAGTTATTATACTGTCCGTCGTTGACAGGATTTTATTCATCTAAGTTTAAATTGTATTAATGTTCTCGTCACTATATGGCTGAAATATTGCCGATGTGACGTAAAGTTTTAACTCACTCACTCGCTCAAAAGTCTCAATGTTAAACTATTATCAAAAGTGAAAGTCACCTGTCATACAACTATGGGTTACATAAGCCACGCCCAATTTCCCGCTTTTCTCTATTTGTTGCCTGCTGATTTTATGCAACCGAATTTTTGAGTGACGAATATTGTGAAAAATGGCAGGTATTGCTAGAATGTTAAAGGGCAAGTTCGAACGAAGTAAACCTATTCTTCTCGTACTTTTTCATCATGAAAAGTATTTACCTGGTGGTTTCAGGGGCAAAACAATGAAAATATCACAAGTATCTAATATTATTTTATTAATTAAATCGGTTCCTTTTTTTTCACATTTACCGAGAGTTCTATTTCTATAATAAACACACCATGGCTCATGCCCCTTGCAATATGTCGTCATTGGTGCCAATAGACCGATCCAGTCTGTTAATCAAAATTGGCGCATGCGTCAGTTTGAGCCATTCAGAAGGCCGAGCGCTCGTTGCAGATTTGTCAGACTTATTTCCGGGGTCAACAATGCCGCAGTCTGGTACCCAGGGAACCAGGCTGACAATGCCGGTGAAGCACTGGCACACGGTTTGTGCAACTCTTACTCCAGATATCCGTTGCGTATTGTTCGATTCATATACCAAACCAAAACGGTCGCGAGAAAAGTCTTTGCGATGGATCAAGGCGTTCGGCAGATCTCATGATCAGCTTAATGTCAACACAATCTTCCTCGAAACCTACGTCTGTTCGAAGGTTAGAATTTGCACAGTAAGTGCAGATCGAACTTGTCCCATTATCTCAATTCCGCTACAATTAAGTGGACATTTGTCAACAGTGTTGTCCGATCTCTTAGATATTATTAATTTTGTAAACATTTTGTTAAATATGGGTATAGAAACGTAGTTACAAGTCATACAAATTCCCAACAGGCTTTGGCCTATCGACATGCGAACTACACATGTAACCATGGGAATGAAGAGACGGGGCCCACTGATGAATTCCCTGACCCAATTCTGGTGGATGGAAGCACCCCCTTCAAGGCAAGGAAGAAGAGGAAAATTACGTAAGAATAGTACATTGCCAGGATATTTTGACAGATTGAAATATGAGCTTTGCAGATTTATGTGGTAAATTTTAATTATTTTTATATATTACAGCAGAGACAATATATATATATATGGTCTCTGCTTACAGACAATGTGTCAAGCAATTCACCTTGAAACTTTCCCCAATCCCCCTGGCTCTATCTGTTTTGATTCTTGAATTTCAGTACTAAGGAGTCAGATGCCACTGCTGCGAGTGTAGAGGTCTCTGTCCAAGCTCACAACATCCTGCCTGTCCCCGACCAAAGAGTGAGTGAGTGAGTATGGTTTTACGCCGCTTGTGGTAATATTCCGGCAATATCACTATGGAAGACACCAGAAATGGGCTTCACATGTACCCATGTCGGGTGTCGGATTTGGTATCAAACGTCTTAGAATTTCAAGGGCTTTCCAACGAGCCATCATGCACTAAAATCGCTTAATATTTATAAATATATATTTTTCACCTCTCTAGCAAAAGGACTTCCAAGTCAGCAAATGGAAAAGACATGGTTCTACCTTGAGTGTTTGAGAAACGCGCCAATTTTCGTTTTAGGAGTAAATGTGCATGTCTTTTGAAACACTTTGCAGTGACCAAATCGTTTCAGATCTTTTGGAAACATTGAAAGGGTTACATTGGCTATTGAACTGTGTAAAAATAACCACAATGGTGTCGCGCATGCACGTGCGGTAGCACCCTAACAGAGGCCTCTGATGTCAATTTGGACACCTTCAAACAGTTGTATTTCCCTAACAACCCCTTATAGGTGTGTCGGATTTGGTATCAAACGTCTTAGAATTTCAAGGGCTTTCCAACGAGCCATCATGCACTAAAATCGCTTAATATCTAAGAAAAATGTGTTTTTCACCTCTCCAGCAAAAATACTTCCAAGTAAGCAAATTGAAAAGATATGGTTCTACCTTGAGTGTTTGAGAAACGCGCCAATTTTCGTTTTAGGAGTAAATGTGCATGTCTTTTTAAACACTTTGCTGTGACCAAATCGTTTCAAATCTTTTGGAAACATTGAAAGGGTTACATTGGCTGTCCAACTGTATAGAAATAACCACAATGGTGTCGCGCATGCACGTGCGGTAGCACCCTAACAGAGGCCTCTGACGTCAATTTGGACACCTTCAAACAGTTGTATTTCCCTAACGACCCCTTATAGGTGTGTCGGATTTGGTATCAAACGTCTTACAATTTCAAGGGCTTTCCAACGAGCCATCATGCACTAAAATCGCTTAATATTTGAGAAAAATGTCTTTTTCACCTCTCCAGCAAAAGGACTTCCAAGCCAGCAAATGGAAAAGACGTCGTTCTACCTTGAGTGTTTGAGAAACGCGCCAATTTTCGTTTTAGGAATAGATGTGCATGTCTTTTAAACACTTTGCAGTGACCAAATCGTTTCAAATCTTTTGGAAACATTGAAAGGGTTACATTGGCTATCGAACTGTGTAAAACAAAAACACAATGGTGTCGCGCATGCGCGTGCGGTAGCACCCAAACAGAGGCCTCTGACGTCAATTTGGACACCTTCAAACAGTTGTATTTCCCTAACGACCCCTTATAGGTGTGTCGGATTTGGTATCAAACGTCTTAGAATGTCAAGGGCTTTCCAACAAGTCAACATGCACTAAAATCGCTTAATATTTAAGAAAAATGTGTTTTTCACCTCTCCAGCAAAAATACTTCCAAGTCAGCAAATTAAAAAGATTCTACCTTGAGTGTTTGAGAAACGCGCCAATTTCCGTTTTAGGAGTAAATGTGCATGTCTTTTGAAACACTTTGCAGTGACCAAATCTTTTCAAATCTTTTGGAAACATTGAAAGGGTTACATTGGCTATCCAACTGTGTTAAAATAACCACAATGGTGTCGCGCATGCACGTGCGGTAGCACCCTAACAGAGGCCTCTGATGTCAATTTGGACACCTTCAAACAGTTGTATTTCCCTAACGACCCCTTATAGGTGTGTCGGATTTGGTATCAAACGTCTTAGAATTTCAAGGGCTTTCCAACGAGCCACCATGCACTAAAATTGCTTAATATTTATAAATATATATTTTTCACCTCTCCAGCAAAAGGACTTCCAAGTCAGCAAATGGAAAAGACATGGTTCTACCTTGAGTGTTTGAGAAACGCGCCAATTTCCGTTTTAGGAGTAAATGTGCATGTCTTTTGAAACACTTTGCAGTGACCAAATCTTTTCAAATCTTTTAGAAACATTGAAAGGGTTACATTGGCTGTCCAACTGTATAGAAATAACCACAATGGTGTCGCGCATGCACGTGCGGTAGCACCCGAACAGAGGCCTCTGACGTCTATTTGGAAACCTTCAAACAGTTGTATTTCCCTAACGACCCCTTATAGGTGTGTCGGATTTGGTATCAAACGTCTTACAATTTCAAGGGCTTTCCAACGAGCCATCATGCACTAAAATCGCTAAATATTTATAAATATATATTTTTCACCACTCCAGCAAAAGGACTTCTAAGTCAGCAAATGGAAAATACATGGTTCTACCTTGAGTGTTTGAGAAACGTGCCAATTTCCGTTTTAGGAGTAAATGTGCATGTCTTTGAAACACTTTGCAGTGACCAAATCGTTTCAAGTCTTTTGGAAACATTGAAAGGGTTACATTGGCTATTGAACTGTGTTAAAATAACCACAATGGTGTTGCACATGCGCGTGCGGTAGCACCCT